CAGATTACATGTTAATAATGCTCCCTCCGAGGTCACTGTCCCCACCCTTGTTTTGAGTGGCTCCAGCCTTTCTCGGCCGATCATAGGCTCCAATGTAATAACACTTATTGTTGGTAGTGAAGTGAACCAGTCCATCTCTGACCGAGACCACCTCATCCAAACTGTTGTGTCAGCATTCCCAGGTGTTGAAGTCAGTGAAATACAAGCCTGTGTGAAACAAGTGAGTACAAATCCAGTGTTTGAGTACAAAGTTAAAACTACAAGAGAAACATTGACTGTACCAAAGCACACAACTATGAGAGTAGAATGCCGCATACAAGGACCCCCATGCCAAGAAGACACAGTCCTCATTTTTGAGCCCGAGATAAATCCACAGTGGACTGAAGGACTTGAATTTTGTGACACTCTGGTAACAATTAAAAGTGGAATAAACCCGTTTATAACAGTTGATGTCCAGAACCCCACAGAACATGACATTGTGCTCATTGGGAGAACACTGATTGGAACAGTGCAACCCGTACAAGCTGTCTACCCTGCCTCAATTCTTCAGCCTGCTCCTACAGTCCCAGCTGCTGTCGGTCATGTGAGAGTAGGTGAAGAAGAAGTTTGGGATCCGCCTGTCAACCTGAGTCACTTGCCTGAAAAAGAGAGGTCAGTAGTGCAGAAGATGTTAAGAGATGAATGTGATTCGTTCTCTAAATCAGAAAATGACATTGGCCGCATCGAAAAGTTACAAATGTCCATATCTCTTAAAGACACTGAGCCAGTAGCAAAAACTTACCTGTCTGTGCCTAAACCTTTATACAGAGAGATGAAAGACTATTTGCAAGACCTCATTACTCAAGGCTGGGTCGAGAAGTCACACTCACCATATGCAGCGCCAGTAGTGTGTGTGCGAAAAAAATGTGGTGCGCTCAGGTTATGTATTGACTATCGTGAGTTAAACAAAAAGACTGTACCTGATCGTCAGCCCATTCCCAGGGTCCAGGATATTATGGATGGACTTGGCGGTAATTCATGGTTTTCTTTACTTGACCAAGGGAAAGCCTACCACCAGGGATTTATGGCTCCAGATTCACGCCACCTGACAGCATTTGTGACTCCCTGGGGCTTGTACGAATGGGTCCGAATCCCCTTTGGCTTAATGAACGCTCCAGCGGCTTTCCAACGCTGTATGGAAAACTGTTTGGAAGGCCTGCGCGATGACATTTGCATTCCATACCTCGATGACACAATCGTATTCAGTAACTCCTTTATGCAACATGTCTGTGATGTAAGAACTGTGTTAAAACGCCTCAGAGAACATGGCATTAAATTAAAACCAAGTAAATGTGAACTGTTTAAACAAGAAGTGCGTTACTTGGGACGCATTGTTTCAGCAGAGGGTAGTAAAATGGATCCCGCTGATACTATTGCAGTCAGAGCTCTTAAAAATAAGCAGCCCAAAACAGTAGGAGAACTCAGATCTATCATGGGTCTACTCAGCTACTACAGACAGTATATCAGAGACTTTTCATGCATTGCTGGTCCACTTTACCAGTTGCTCAAAGGACCTGCTGACACACAAGTAACTAAAAACAAAGAAATAACGACAAGACACACAAACAAAAAGACAAGAGGAGTCCCTTCAAACACGCCAATCAAGTGGACCTCACATCATCATCAGATTTTAGAGAAGTTGATTGATTTTCTTATTGAACCACCCATTCTTGCTTTCCCAGACTTCAGTAAGCCGTTTATACTCCACACTGATGCGTCAAACCAAGGATTAGGTGCAATCCTTTATCAGGAGCAATCTGGTAAAATGCGAGTATTAGCATATGCGCCCGCACACTCACTGAATCTGAAAAGAATTACCACATGCACTCGGGGAAACTTGAATTTCTTGCTTTAAAATGGGCAGTCTGCGAGAGATTTAGAGACTACTTGATCGGGTCATCATGCACAGTGTATACGGATAATAATCCACTTACGTACGTGCTATCAACAGCAAAACTAAATGCAACAGGAAGCCGATGGGTCGCTGAGCTTGCAGATTTTCACCTCACTATAAAGTACAGACCCGGACGCGAAAATGTGGACGCGGACAGTTTATCACGCATGCCAGTGGACATTGATAAAATTATGAAAGCGTGCACAATCGAGATGTCATCTCGTGCAGTCCAAGCCACTGTTCAAGTGATAGAAACAGACTCAAATGTGCAATGGGCACTGGCTTTAACAAGTGAAATGAACAAAGATAAAAACCTCATTCCGATTCAAAGTGAAGAGATAAGCCAAGCTCAGCTAAACGACGCATGTATTGGTTCTGTTATAAATTATCTGAAGTCAGGCACAAAGCCTACTGGTCAAGAATGTAAGTTATTGAGTGTGCCCACAAGAAGGCTGTTATCTGAATGGGAGAAGTTAACGCTGGACAAAGACAACATCTTACATCGTCAAACAACAGTAAGAAAACAGCTTGTGTTGCCAGATAAATACAGAGACACAGTTTTGAGAGCACTACATAACGAAATGGGACATCAGGGCATTGATCGGACAACATCACTCATCAGAGATAGATTTTTCTGGCCCCACATGCAAAAGCACATTGAACAATATGTTAATTGTTGCTCCTGTATAAAGAGCAAGAAACCAAGTCGTGCAACAAGAACACCATTGACGAGTATAGTTACATCTCAACCTTTTGAACTTGTATCCATAGATTTCCTTCATGTTGACAAGTGCTCTGGTGGCTATGAGTATATATTGGTGTTAATAGACCATTTCACAAGATATGCACAAGCTTACGCCACAACATCAAAATCAGGAAAGACGGTCGCAGATAAAATATTCAGTGATTATTCGCTCAAGTTTGGCTTCCCTGCACGTATACATCATGATCAAGGGGGCGAGTTTGAAAATCACCTTTTCGCACAACTTTCCAAACACAGTGGCATTACAAGCTCAAGAACGACCCCTTATCATCCCGAAGGAAACGGTCAAGTCGAAAGATTTAATAGAACACTGTTACAAATGTTGAGAACGCTCACCGAAAAAGAAAAATCCAACTGGAAAGAGTCACTCAATAAAGTCATTTTCGCTTATAACTGTACAAGGAGCGAAGTAACAGGTTTCTCCCCATTCTACCTGTTATTTGGACGAGCACCACGACTGCCCATAGACATTCTTTTCAATGTGAGACAAGAAACAGGAACAAATGGCCAAAAATTGTACATGAGAAAGTGGAAAAGTCAAATGCAAGAAGCTTATGAAATAGCAAGAGAAAAGTCCAAAAAGTCAGCAGAAAGAGGAAAAAGGAACGCTGATAACAAAGTGAGAAGTTCTGTTTTGGAAGAAGGAGACCGTGTCCTAGTAAGAAATATGACCCCTAGAGGTGGTACAGGAAAATTGCGCAACCATTGGGAAGAACACATCTATAAAGTAGTGCGACAAGTGAACACAGATCTTCCTATTTATGAAGTTGTGCCAGAACAAGGAAAGAACAGAGACAGTAAAATATTACATCGCAATCTACTCCTACCTTGTAACCACTTACCACTTGAGATACCTCTGAAAGTGACACGCCCGAAAAAGAGAAACCAATCTAAAAAAGAGACTGATACAGCCACACAAGAAGAAGATAGTAGTGATGAAGATGATTGGTACTTTTGCTACAATCCAACTCAACCTCAAACAGCAGTATCCTTGCCAGGAATGGACTGGAATAATGCAGCAGAAACAGATCAATGTGAAGAAGAGGACAAAACACCATCTCCACAGCATCCTGTCCTGCAGAGAGAGGAGGAACCTCAGCACATCCAACTAAAGACATCACATCAAGGAACAGCACCCGTCGCATCTCCCAGCAACACAGCCACCAGTGATGACTTCCCAGCATCCTCGAGGAACGACCCCATGGAGCGGGACCAGACACCACATCGGCCCCGTAGAGAGAGACGTCCACCGAGGGTATTCACGTACAATGAACTAGGTATGCCGTCTTGTTGCAGTATCCAACGAGCAGCTTACCAGTATCAGCCCTGTGGCCTACAAGCAACAGATACTTCTTGGAGGTACCAGGACATGTATTACTACTACAATTACCAGCCATTGTATTGATGCATAATGATACTATTAATACATTTCTTTGTATTTGGTGATTTGAAATCATAACAAAGACTGTTTCTTTGAGAACTTTCACAAAATGAACTGTTTTACAACAGAGGTAAATCACTCACGAGTAATACTCCAGTGATCAGCTGAGACCAAAGACATTGAGAATGTGGTACAGTGAAGTTGGGATGTTAGGGGGTAATCCCCTTTTAGAAAACTGTATGAAGACGTGGTACGATACGAAGATTTACGAGTGAATGTTATGTTTATAAGACCATTTTGAGACATACTGTCCTTTGGTAATGATTGTAATTGAGAATATATAATGCTTTTGCATTGAGATAATGGTTTAACCTAAAATGTGTATATGGTTCAGTAAGTACGTTCATTTGAGACTTTTGAAGTTACCTTTATTTGTGTTTGAGTAAGATGTCGGGACGCCATCTAATTTCCAAGGGGTGTGTGTAATAGTGATAAAAACAATGTAATAGATATATATACAGAAAAAGAGATTTGCAATAAATAGTTATTTCATAATTTACATAATATTTGAAAAAAACAAGATAAATATGGTTAAAGGTATGTTAAAATATCTACAGTTAATTCAGTATTTACATTTTGAGTTTTTACAGAAAAGATTGTTATCGACTAGTAAGCCTGAACAACAATGGAGCGATTGGTTTTGCCCGCACCGACAGATAGGGGGGGGGTTCGCGCTGTTTCCTCACTTGTATTAAACTCCTGCAAGAGGGAAACGCACCCAAATCACTCTCGTGGTTTTCTCCTTATTTCAGGTAAAAGGGACCAATTGTTGTACATTGTATCATATTCGTATTTGTTTATAAGACTTGTATTAAACTCCTGCAAGAGGGAAACGCACCCAAATCACTCTCGTGGTTTTCTCCTTATTTCAGTCTCGGGTCCTCTGTCTCGGTCACGTACCGCTCTGTTGAGCAGGGGCTGCAGGGCAGGGCGTGTTTCTCGGAGAGGGGTGGGCTCCCGGGGGAATGGCGGGGACTGCGAAGGCTCTTCAGCGGGTGTGGCGTGTGCGGCACCGGGCGCAAGAGGGGCCAGGCTGCCGCTATAGAAGCTGCCCTCCCCTCCGGGAGCTGCCGAGGTACCTCCCCTCCGGGTCCACGCGTGATCTCTGAGGGACAGGAGAGGCTGCGCGGAGAGCTGCGAGGAGAGCTGCGGAGAGAGCTGCGAGGAGATCTGCGAGGAAGGCTGCCGAGGAAGCTCGAGGAGAGCAGCGAAGTATAGCTGGTGAGAGCTGCGAGTAGGCTGCAAGAGCTGCGAGGAGAGCTGCGAGGAGGGAGCCGGGGGAGGGGCGTCGGCACGGCGTGTTCCTCACTCGACACTAGGGAGACAAGAGGGTCACGATTATAGAATGCAACAACACTACTATGGACCAGGTGTGCAAGAGGAGGGGGGAAGGAGAGACGAGAACCATGTGGCAACTATAGATGCCACCACACTAAGAATGAAGGGAGACGAGAACCATGTGGCACATAGATGCCACCGACACTAAGGAAGGAAGAGAGACGAAACCATGTGCACTATAGTGTCCACCACACTAAGGAAGGAAGGGAGACGAGAACCATGAGGCACTATAGATGCCACACACTAAGGAAGGAAGGGAGAACGAGACCATGTGGTCACTAAGATCGCCAGAACACAAAGGAAGGAAGAGAGACAAGAACCATGTGGCACTATAGATCCACCACACTAAGAAGAAGGGAAGACGAGAACCATGTGGCACTATACATGCCATGCGAAACTATTCGGCCACCCCTTGAACCTTCAACTATCGCCACATTTCAGTGCATCAAACATAAAGATAATAAAATTGAAGTTTTTTGGTCATGAATCAACAACAAGAGGGAACACAATCGTGAAGTGGAACGAAATTTATAGGATAGTTTAAACTTTTAAATAAAAATGAACAAAACTGAAAAGTGCAATATTATTCGCCCCCATCACTGTTCAGTGCAGGCAAACTCAGTCGAAAGTTCAGTGAGGATCTTGAATAGATCCAATGGTTGTTCCTAAATGACTGATGATTGATAAATAGCAATGCACCTGTGTGTAATCAAGTCTCCGTATAAATGACCCCTGCGCTTTGATAGTCTCAGGTTCGTTAACGCAGAGAGAACCATGAAGAACAAATAACACCCATGGCAGGTCCGAGATACTGTAGTGGAGAAGTATAAAAGCCGGATTTGGATACAAAAAGATTTCCCAAGCTTTAAAAACATCTCAAGGAGCACTGTGCAAGCAATTAAATGAAAAGAAGGAGTAACAACCACTGCAAATCTACCAAGACCCGCCGTCCCTCCAAAACTATTCATCTCAAACAAGGAGAAGACCTGATCATAGAATGCAGCCAAGAGGCCGCATGATCACCAGATGAACTGCAGAATAACTAACAGCTCTGAGGTGGGGAAGGTGTGTTCAAGGGTGTGAGCTGTGTTCTTTTTACCGCCAAACATATCGTTATTTGAATTGTTGCCAAAACGTTATGAATTTGGTTTTCATCTGCCAGAGCACCTTCTTCCACATGTTTGGTGGTGTCTCCCAGGTGGCTTGTGGCAACTTTAAGAGACATTTATTATGGATATTCAGTTAGAAATGGCCACTCATCCATAAAGGCCAGATTTGTTCAGTGCACGACTGATTGTTGTCCTATGGACAGACTCTCGCCACCACAGCATGTAGTTTTTTATCTGTCAGTTTCATCCCAGATCGTTCAAGGGCCTCCCTTGCTGCAACTCTGATCAGTCTTCTCGCTTGTTTAGATGAAAGTTTGAGGCCGGCCGGGTCTTGTTAATGTTGTTTTTTTTTTTTTTTTTTTTTTTTTTTTTTTGGTCAGTGGTCTGATACTCCTTCCATTTCAATATAATTGCTTGCACAGTGGCACCTTGAGATGTTTAAATCTTGGGAAATCTTTTTGTAATCCCAAAACCGGCTTTAAACAGTGAGTGAGATGGAAGGCCTCACCTATAGAACTCGCCCGGGACAGGTGAGCGATGGGAGGCTACAGGGGTGGTAGCCGCCCTCCACTGCCTGGGGGTGGTACTGGTAGTGCGCGTGGGCGAAGGCCAGCTGTGTGTAGTGCTGAGGCTGGAGTGATCCAGGGATGGAAGGGTGAGCTGAGATGACCTCTGCGAACGACCACAGAAGCAATGACACACAATGACACACAAAGACACTCAATTGAGACACAATGACACACACATAAATACACAAGCACACACAATTACACACAATTAGACGCAATGAGACACAATGTGAGAGAGAGGAGAGAGAGGAGAGAGAGGGGAGAGAGAGAGCGGAGAGAGAGAGGAGAGAGGGGATAGAGAGAGGAGAGAGAGATAGAGAGAGGGGGAGAGAGAAGAGGAGAGAGAGGAGACGGGGGAGAGAGAGTAGAGAGAGTAGAGAGAGGAGAGAGAGAGAGGAAGAGGAAGAGGAGAGAGAGAGAGGAGAGCGAGGAGAGGGGGGGAAGACAGACGAGATGGAGGAGAGGAGAGTGAGAAGAGGGAGGCGAGATAGAAGAGAGGAGAAGAGGTGGAGAAGAGAGAGGAGAGAGAGGGAGAGAGGAGAGAGAAGATAGGGAGGGGGGAGACAAGGAGAGGGAGTGAGACAGACAGGATAGAGAGGAAGGGAAGGGAACAGAGGATAGAAGAGGATAGGGAGGGGGAGACAGATGAGAGGGAGGGAGAGAGAGAGAGAGAAGAGGGAGGCGAGAGAGAGGGGAAAGAGGAAGAGGGAGGGGGAGACAGAGAGAGGGAGAGACTAGACAGGAAGACAGGGGGAGAGGGGAGACAGAGGAGAGAGAGGGGGAGAGGAGAGATAGAGAGGAGAGGGAGGGGGGATACAGGACGAGAGGGAGTGAGAGAGAGAGAGAAGAGGGAGGCGAGAGAGAGGAGAGAGAGGAGAGAGTGGAGAGAGAGAGGAGAGAGAGGAGAGAGAGAGAGAGAAGAGAAGAGAAGGAGGAGAGAGGGGAGAGAGGGGAGACTGAGGAGAGGGAGGCTGGGGAGAGAGAGGAAGTGGAGGAGATGCACAAGCATGGATGTCCACAGAATGACACTTTCCTCTCGTATAAGACGCCTCGTCCCACTCCTCACCTCTGCACAGGAGCTGCCCTGGTCTCCCCCCTCCCTTCCCCCTCTCTCCCCCTCCCCCTCCCACACACACTTAAGCTGAGGCGGCTTGGCAACAAACGGCATCATCATTTTAGGCCTCATCCCGCGCGCCTCCCAGAGTCGACATGCCCGTCCTCAGACTCGAGCCCTAAAACGCATGCACAGCTTTAAAATCAAATTCAGCCGAATTTAAATGTTTTTGGAAAAGGACTTTTTATCAATAGATTTTAAGGATAGTGAGTGAAGCAGACGATGAGAGGCAGACGAAGCAACACTCCAAACAAACGTCGTTTGGACCGTTCATTTAAGACACACATTAGCCTCCTGCAGCTCGTGAGACACCAGAAGCATTAGCTCTCCCCATAACAGTGTTTATGCCGCCCTCTGCCTGGGCAGCAGATGGAATATAACCACTCACAATAACAAACTAAAGCAGCTTGTGCAAAGACTGAGATTCGATTTAATTCATTCCAGTGTTTTGTAACTGATGAAGCAACACTGACATTTCCTCACATGGGACGCACAAAGGACTCTCATCTTCAAGAAAATTTTGACTCCAAAAACATGACAGTGGTTATTTTCTCTCAGCAACATTTTGGACATTTCCCCGAGTCTCTGGAGCTGCAATGGTTTTCTGTCCTCTACTACTCCTCGCATCGGGGCAAGTCTGAGTCTGAGCCTGAGCCTGAGTCAGAGCCTTAGTCAAAATCCAGAGTCTGAGCCTGAGAGTCTAGTCTGAGTCAGAGAGTGTGGAGCAGGTGAGAGAGCGGGTCTTTGAAGCTGCTCAGAGGTTCTCCACAGGGGGCGCTCTCTGCAGGAGGCAGACTTTGCTCTGAACTCTCTCTGTAGCTATTGGAGGAAAACGTGTTTGTAATAAAGATGTCTCCAGTGTTTTGATTATTGATTCAAAGACTGTAGATGTGTTTTTGAGTTACAACGGCAACGATAGAGGAAGTAGAGTGTGTGAAGTTACCAAAGGCAACGATAGAGGAAAACGGGCTCTGATAAGTTTGTTGAAGTCTATGGTACAAGTTTCTCTCATCGTCAGAAACAGACCTGAGGTTTTTTTTAGCTCCATCCAGGGTGAAGTCTGTGATGATATGGAAAGAATTCTGTCTTTTAAAATAAAAGTATTGCATCTAATTTACATCAGGAAGTTTGCCTTTGCCCAGTATGTTCTTGTGTGTCTCTGTGTGTGTTGTGTGGTTTGTGTGTCCTCTATGTCTGTGTGTCTCTGTGAGTGTGTGTGTGGTTTGTGAGGACCCGGGGGGGGGGGTGTGGGGGGGGGGGGGCCCCCCCCCCCATTTAACAGTGTGAGTCAGACCAGAACATAGTGGTCAGACCAGGGGTACTTGTGATACTACATGTGTAGGAGTTGCGTCGCTGCTGCAGGTGGCTGGCCTCGGATCAACGCTTGTTCCGCGGGGGTGATGTCCCTGGGACGAGCGGGGGATGGGGGTCTCCGTCATCACGGGTTGGGGTCCCGGGTGAGAGAGAAAGAGAGAGAGCGAGAGAGGAGTCTGGTCTCTATCTCTATCTCTGGTGTGTGTGTGTGCACTTGTTTTTCAACCTCCCTGGATGGGGTCCATAACCCTGAGATTCGACTCACGAACTACCATATTAGCAGGTGCATCATGGGAAATGTAGTGACGGTAACAGTGATATTTGTCACAATTCAATATTATTGAGATTCTTCAAAATTCGTACAGTTTTAGTGATTTGAATTCTGTGGATTGATTTGTGATTCATGTCCTTCATATTATTCAAAGACTTACAAAACATGGAGGAAAATAAGTACTCAACCAATGTTAATTTATTATGATCTGTTCTTGAACTGAAGCAAACAGTGTGACGAGGGAAAAGCAAAAGCGTGATCCTTGAACAATCAGGACACAGGAACTTAGTTTTTCCTATTGCCTTAAACACATTTCACGATAGCCCTCCTTTTTTCAAAACTCTAAACACGTAACCTCTTTCTAAAGCTACGTACGACACCAACACAGTCTCTTTTTCAAAACCCAACCCCATCACACCAAAACAGTGACTCATATTCTCTAAGACCAACCCATCACACCAAAACAGTGACTCATATTTTCACTAAACCAACCCATCTCACCAAAACAGTGACTCATATTCTCTAAACCAACCCCTCACACCAAAACAGTGACTCATATTCTCTAAACCAACCCATCACACCAAAACAGTGACTCATATTCTCTAAACAACCCATCTCACCAAAACAGTGACTCATATAACTCTAAACCAACCCATCACACCAAAACAGTTGACCTCTTATTCTCTAAACCAACCCATCACACCAAAACAGTGACTCATAATCTCTAAACCAACCCATCACACCAAAACAGTGACTCATATTCTCCATCTCACCAAAACAGTGACTCATATTCTCTATTCTCTGACAAACACAATTTTCAGAATGTGACACTGTATTTTACTGTTTCCCAACTGCCAGGATGCATTTGAGCAACACTTTTTTTTAATTCTCAAATGGTTTTGGGCATTTACCTATAGATTTGTGCGTTATCATGAGAATAGTTTACAGTAATCCACACACATCGATACTTCAGTACAGTACCAATTTGAAAACCACAATGTTTAGGGCAAGTGCTTCTCAAATAGGGGGGGGGGGCCTCCACATGCTCTGGTGCCACGAGCGGACTCATTTTCCCATGGTGACCGGCGCTGACAGGACAAGTGCGGATCTTATGGATGTGAGAAATGCAGCTGAACTATTGAGCCTCTGGAAGTGTCCCCGTGTCTCCTGTAGCCCTGAAACTACAACTCACTAAATTAAAGCTGGGGTACCTACATTTCCCTTGCATATCATAAAGCATGTTGCTCCTCTCCCTCCAGGTCGCACCTCTCCCTCTTTGAACCTGGCTGGGCGGATACCTATCTCAGGCAGTGCGGACCCAGTGATTGGGGGGGGCAAAAACAAAAACCTGTGCATAAATGTAGAATCTTACTAACACTCATCTCTCAGCTTCCCTCCAGTACTGGAACTTTTATTCCTTGTTTTGTCCATTTGTTAAAATTAGCTTTAGTTTTCACACTCAGACATATACACACTATACACTGGTTTCATCACAGACCTGCACACACTAGAACACATACCACGGCTTCACATACTCACACCTCATTCTTGGTAGGTATTAAACTTTTTGTTTGTCTTTATTATTAAAAATAAACATATAGAACGACCACACCTAGTTTGGTCCTCAATATGTCAGAGGCCCAGAGCCACTTGTGACAAAGACACAACAAACCAACGATGCAAAGAGTCACAACAAGGAACAGAAAAGTCAACATGAAAATGACACACTGAACGGAATGGATTCATTCCCCCAAACCAGGAGTTTAGACTGAAGTGAGATCCTGTAGAGTCCTGACTCTGAGGTACACAGGATGCACCTCAACTCTGTCTCCTTCACTTTGTCCAGATGCATCAGACCTGCTAAGACCTGCCTTCTCTACAGGTTTTAATGTGTGTTTTAGTAAGAGAAATCCAATGATTAAAACACTTTTCACCCTTTACACAGACAAATAGGTTTCTCTCCAGTGTGGACCACCTGTGCCACATTGAGATACCCTCCGAGAAAAACTCTGACCACAGTCTACGCAGCAGAAGGCTTCTTCTCCAGTGTGGATTCCTTTTGTGCTGTCAAGACTTCCTCTTAGGAAAAACATTTTTCCACACTGGTCACACTCGAACGGCTTTCTCTCCATTGTGGTGCACCGATGGAAGACGTGTGCGGACTGCTGCATTTTATAAAGGTTTTACTGCAGGAAGTCACATGCAAAGGGCGTTTTCTCCATTGTGGATTCTCTCATGTGCTTTGAAGGAGGAAGACCGGTAAACGTACTTCCCACAGTCTCCACAGACGAATAGGTTTATCTCCATGTGGGATTCATGTATGACGAGAGCGGTCAGATAAACATGAAAAAAGTCTTTTCACACTTGTCACAGTGGTGAGGTCTCTCTCCTGTGTGGACATGCTGATGTAGTGAAGGGTCTTTTCCTCTAATGTTTTTTCACACTGGTCACAACTCACTGGATTTTTCTCTTTCCTGAGTGGATCCTCCTGATACCTTTGAGAAGACTCTCTTGTCTAAAACTCTGAACACAATCGTCGCAGCTGAAGGGTTTTTCTCTAGTGTGGATTCCTGTTGTGGACCATGAGTCCTATCTTTGTATAAAAACATGTTCCACACAGATCACACTCGTAATGGTATTTCCTCCAGTGTGAGTTCTGTGGTGTCCACTTAGATCATGAAGCAGAGCTGCAGGCTCTATCCACACTGATCACAAGTTGAACCCCATTCTGTATAGGACTTTTGTAGATCAGCAACAGACACAACAACGTCAGATACTTCTAATATGTTTGATGGTGGAAAGTGCGAAATGAAATTGTTCACTTTCAACAATCAAACACGGGTTCCTGCAATAAGCTGGTTGCTCCGACCCATGGGCAACACCCCCCACCCTGTATAGGAGCCACTTCTACAGCCTCAGTCCGGGTCTACAGCCTCAGTCTGGGTCTGGCAGCCATCAGTCCTGGGTCTGCAGCCTCAGTCCTTGGTCTAGCAGCCCTCAGTCCTGGGATCTGTTTTATGTGGCTAATGATCAACTCGATAAACTATGACGTCATACACTGAGCTTAGAAACAGAAATAGGAAATTTAACAGACAGACATAGGGGTGCGCTGGCTGATTAAGGACCCACTACGACACATGTAGATCGACTGGATACAATTATCTGCATTCTGTATAAAAAATAAAAAAACACAAATCCACATTGTCTCTCCATACACCCGCTCGCAGTCCACTGTTCAGCTAGCTCTCACATGTGGACTACATAAAACTACCAGTGATGGTCAAGCTAACATGATTTATGCATTTTAGCAAGCTACTCAATACAAAAAATACAGCTTCACTTTACAGACCTACCACCCATAAAAATGCAGCAAGCTAAGTTTCACAAAATTCTGTCAAATATTTGCTATATAGAAGCTACATTCAAGTAAACAAACTGCCATTCTAAGCAATTTTAGTGATAAATACTAACTGTC